ATGTTCTTGATGACATTGGGCCAACATTGGCCCAATGTCGCATTCACTGGGCCAATGTTGGCGAAATGTTGGGCAAATATCTGCAGAAATAACACTCTACATTGGGCCAACGTTGGCCCAACATATCGGGCCAACATTGGGCCGATGAGCAAACTTACGTTGGGCCAATGTCATTTGCCAACATTGGCCCAATGTAACCGATGACATTGGCCCAACGTTGGCCCAATGTTAGTATGCTATCTGGGTGGTCAAGTCATAGGTATGGAACCAAGGTATCGGTGGCTTATTGAGAATACTGACAAGAATGGACCATGGATGGAAACCCTAGAAGAAGCCAGGGAGGATTACCATAAAACCCATTAAGAGGAATCTATTCAAAAACCATGGACTTATTGGGAATACTGTAAACAAATGTGGGGCTTGGATATGATGTCTCCGGAACAATCTAAAGAAAAAGTTGAAGAAACTAAACAAAAAGTATGGTTGGAAAAAAGAGTGAAATTTCCTGAAAATTATGTGGTGATAAGAAAGCACTGCTCTTTTGAGGGAATGAAGGGTTATCATCTCTACAAATGGGAGATCACAGCTGAGGATGATTATGATGATTTTCTGATTGGAACTCCATACTTTACCTCCGAGTTAGAATCGTGTATTGAAGATTTACTCCAGACCACGGGAGAAGGAAAAACTTTAAAAAGACCGGGATTTAGGGGTCCTTTTGCACAGTATCTCCATGGAATAATTCCTTATTTTCCAAATGAAAAAGGTATCCCTTGAAGGACACGAGACTATGGTAATGATGATGATGATGATTTGAAGTTTGGTGATGATTCGTCCTGGATGATTAATTTCGACGGTGTTGGACTGGATGATTAATTTGGAGGGTATTTTAGATTAAAAGACAGCCTGGTAAAATTGTTGTATGTACTTTTTTTTCCATTGTGAATAAAAAATTGAAAAAAATCAAAAATCTGTGTTATTTGTTAGTGTTTTTGAGGAAATCCAGGTTTTGTCTTTCAGTAAAACCAGTTTGAACCGGTTAGGCTAGACTGTGAATGAATGCGTGACGTCATAATGACATTCTTGAAATGTTTTGCACACGGCGCCCAAGTATTTACCTGTATAGTTAGCATAAACAAAACGTAGTACCAACGTACCAATGTAAACACAATGTAAGCGCCCCGTATTTAGGGATAGGTTAGGGTTAAAAGGGGTTAGAGGGCTAAGGGGGATAGGGTTAGTTACGGCTAGGGGGTTAGGGTTAGGTTTAGTTAGGGTTAGGGTTAGTTAGGGCTAGGGGGTTAGGGTTAGGGTTAGGGTTAGGGTTAGTTAGGGCTAGGGGGGTTAGGGTTAGTTAGGGGGGTTAGGGTTAGTTAGGGTTAGTTAGGGCTAGGGGGTTAGGGTTAGGATTAGGGTTAGGGTTAGGGCTAGGGCTCAGCCAATCAAAACTGATCACGTGATTTCTCTCAGCCAATCAGAATCCAGTATCTATCTAGGCCCCTTATACTACTTACATGTATCAAAACTGCACAGAAGATGTGTAAAAGAATTTTAAAATACAACGGTGAGTTCTATTTAATATTTTAGGCCACGAATATATAGACGACGTATACATTTTGTTCTTTAAAAATAATAAACGTTATGCTGAATTTAAGACGATCTAAAAACTTTTCAATTCCAATGAATTTTGCAATTTAACAAATTTTTATTAAAATCGTAATTTTAAGATTTATAAAGTAACGTCCATTTCTAAAATGCAGAAACCAACGATTCCAGACTATATACATACTGTAGCACTCGGAGAAGAAAGCAATACTGAACCGACAAGAGTTCCTTCAGGCTGTCCTGCTGTGGTCCCTATTGACCCATAGAACGGACATCGCTACCCTGGTCTGGCGGAGGGTGGCTAATCAGCTGTGTATGCTTTTTATTCCAATTGTTAGGCTTTGTCCTGATTGACAATATCTATGTTATTTTTGGAGACCAGGTCTTCCAACAATCTATTGGAATTCCCATGGATACCGACTGCGCTGCATTATAAACAGACCCTTTTGAATTCATATGAATCAGAATTTGTGCAAAATCTTATGCATGAAAAGAAGAAAACACTTAATTGCTGTGGCCTTCATTTCGACATTTAGATATACCGACGTGTATTGTCAAATAAATAACAATCGTAATTTTCATTCTTATGTCGATACGATATATCCTGGGGAGCTTGAGATAAAGGATATCACAAAGTCTAACACATCTGTTTCATATTTGGATATTTTATATGAAAAAGACTTTAATGGTTATCTAACAACCAAGCTGTATGATAAACTTGATGACTTTAACTTTTCTATCGTCAACTTCCCTTTCTTATGCAGCAAATTACCCTCATCACCTGCATACGAAGTTTATGCATCCCAGTTGATTCAATACGCAAGAGCTTGCTCTACGTATTAACAATTTCTAAAACGAGGTAAATTATTGACAAACAAGTTGATGAAACAAAGATATCAGCAGTCTCGTTTAAAGTCATCCTTCCGTAAGTTCTATGGTCGATACAATGACTTTATCAGCAAATACAATTTCTCATTCAAATAATGATTGGCGTTTTTCATACTAATTGTTAGTCCATGATTTATTCACTTAATTGACGGCTAAAATTATTATTTCCCGATCTTGACAAGGAGCACACGGCAGGTGTGACCGGTCGGCAGGGAATGCTCAGTCCTCCATATGGCATTTGATCCCATCTCTGATGTTTTGGGGGTCTGTTGCTCTGCTCCTATTTTGTATTGTTTTATGGACTTTTGATCTTGAATACTGTTCGTTATCTTCATATGTTTCTTTTTAAACTGAATTAACTACGGAAAGTTCTGTCCTCCTGTTCTTGGCGGGTATTAGGGATGCTTACTTCGCCTTGACACCTGAACCCACCTGTGGAATGGCGTTTAATGTCCTCTACACATATTAAATTTGTATTGTTTATAGATTATTTTAGACCGATGTTGTTCATTGCAATTTGTTTCTTTTTTTTTGTGATTGCAACGAGAGGTTATTTCTTATCTGCCAAAAATAATCGCCTTAATAGCTCATCTGAGACGAAGGCTCAAGTTAGCTCTTTTCTGATCAAAATCTGTCCGTTGTCGTCGATGTCGTTGTCGTCGTAAACTTTTCACATTTTCATCATCTTCTCAAGAACAACTGGGCCAATTTCAACCAAATTTGCCACAAAGTATTTTTGGGTAAAGCGGTTTCAAATTTGCTCAAATGAAGAACCAATCCCTCTTCCAAGGGTAAATAATATGAATTAATGAAAAATTAATGGCATCTTTTAGAAATCTTCTCCAGAACCATGGGCAAGGAAAGATGAAACCCATGTGGAAGCATCCTCAGTTATTCAAAGATAAAAATTTTGGAACATATAGGGGGAAATAAATCTTTCCTTTTTAATAAAAACAAGGTAATGATAAGTTATACTGATATGGAAACACTTTCAGCTGATGTATATTCAAATTAGTTCAAACCATTGCCCTCTGTGGAAGGTGGACCCACATTTAAAAAGAAAACAATTCTCTTCAAGAATATTTGGAAATTTAAGGAATATAAGTTTTTTAAAAAAAAATTGTTGTTAAAGATAATCCGAGTCATATTGACCCAGGTGAGCCTTGTCGCCTATTTGTTCGTTGATTTATGTTTGATTATAGATACAGGACTCGTCAGTGCATTGATTCTCCAGGAGATGTCCTCCATAGCCGCACTGAAGGACGAGGAGTTAGCGGTGCAGCTGACTGAACATTCAAAGTAATTTTTATAAGATCCGAGGCGTATATTGTTTTTGTCCTGTCTGTCTGTCTGTTTGTCTGCAAACTTTAACCTTCGCCATAACTTTTGAACCATGAATGTTAGAGACTTTATATTTCTTATGCCTACTCCATAAAGCTCTTTCAAATGACACCAAGGTCAATGACCTTGTGACTTTGACTGTGACCTATATGCTAAAAATAGAAGCTTTTTTGCAAACTTAAACCTTCGCCATAACTTTTGAACCATAAAAGATAGAGACTTCATATTTGGTACACATACAACACTTATTAAGCTCTTTAAAAAGACTCCATGGACAATGACCTTTTGACCTTGACTGTGGTCTATACGCTAAATATAGCTTTTTTGACGGTAAACTTTAACCTTCGCCATAACTTTTGAACGAAGAAAGATAGAGACTTAATATTTGGCATGCCTACTCCACTAATTAAGCCTTTTCACATGACAACAAGGTCAATGACCTTGTGACATTGACTGGGTCTTATATGCTAAAAATAGCTTTTTTTAACCTTCACCATAACTTTTTAACCATAAAAGATAGAGACTTCATACTTGGTAACACTTATTAAGCTCTTTAAAAAGACACCATGGACAATGACCTTTTGACCTTGACTGTGGCCTATACGCTAAATATAACTTTTTTGACGGTAAACTTTAACCTTCGCCATAACTTTTGAACGAAGAAAGATAGAGACTTAATATTTGGCATGCATACTCCACTAATTAAGCTTTTCACATGACAACAAGGTCAATGACCTTGTGACATTGACTGTGTCTTATATGCTTAAAGTAGCTTTTTTGAACCTTCACCAAAACTTTTGAACCATAAAAGATAGAGACTTCATATTTGCTATGCATACTTCACTAATCAAACTCTTTCAAATGACACCAAGATCAATGACCTTCACTGTGACCTTTTTTCTGATGTTCAAAATCTTATGCGGGTAAAAAGGACGTTTAAATACAATACTCCACAATAAAGGCCAGAGTTGACCTGCACAGGTGACCTTTACAGTGTAGACAGATCCTGACTATACGACACTGCATGTTCCAAGTTATCTAGTGAATTTCCAATAAATCGACTGGAAGTCGTGACAGACGTGCTTCCGTAAACCCCGAACAGCTGACGATGAGCGACTTAGTGCGGACGGATCTGGCGGAATATGCTCCGGCATCCAACCTCCTGTTTAATGAACACATCCGGGAGTTGATTCAGTCTGGACGGAACATTTACCACTTCGCGTTCGGACAGTCCCCATTCCCTGTAGTGGAATCGGCTGTCCGGGCCCTGAAGGATCACGCCGGGGAGAACGCCTACCTCCCTGTAGCAGGTAGGCCTGCCGAGAATATTGATCACGGGTCAACGAAATGAACTGTAGGGGAATTAGTTTAAGTTTTTATTTTATTTCTCTGAAAAATGGCAGTAATTTGCAAGTCTCCGGCGAAAACAGTTGCCATGCTATATTCACAGTTTCATTGTCGGCATTTTTCAATTTGTAATATTAAATGCATTTTTGCAAAATCTTTGCTATAACTGTATAGAATGATTATAACATAAACATATTATACTATTTAGAGGGAAGTCAACCTTCTTTTTATTATATTGTGAAATTCCTTCTTTTTCCCCTGTTTTATGCTGATATAGACCTTGACTTTGGCAGTAAGTTTAAATAAATACGCCACTTCTACGATAAAAATAAATCGGTGTGGTCAACAGCTTATCGGTGTATGTCCTTATATATACTCCAAAAATAAATCTGTGTATCTCTTGAATTTATAGTATAGCTATGTAAAATAACCAAGGTTGCCGCGCATTTTTTTGCGAAGTGCAAGCTGCCAAAAATTGGGAAGGGGTGCTTAATTAGAACATAAATGTATATTTATTGTAAAGATGTTAATCCAGCTGGAATAGGCATCAGTCTTCATGGCACAGAGAGAGAGAGAGCGAGAGAGAGAGAGAACGAGTGACATTTAAAGAATACGACAATCGTTCGGTGATCACCTGAGGAGTGCAAAATTTAAAAAAATGTGCAGTACATATCTCTGTTGCGTAGAACATGTCTTTTGTATTTACTTATGATAATGTTTCCTGCACATAGCGTACGTGTTACCTGGTCCAAGGTTGACAGCCATTTACCGGGTATATGCATTTCAGTAAAGCAACCCGTTTGAGCGTGAATGCCAAGAAGCTAGAAATCACTCCCCCTTTTCCATTTGGATTGGATAACTTTTTTTTTTAATTTACGTGTTACAGCATGAAAAAAATTAAATAACATTGATCATCTCTTTTCATTGTCATATGAAAGCAAAGCTTGTGAGTAGCTCATTAATCAGATCACAAAATTAGCCATTCATTTCATCTTGAGCACTGTTGAAAGTACATTTGAGATATAATTAAACGTGTTGAGAATTTACCATCATTTTATGTACATTTACATTTTTACCAATGTCAAGGGGCTACCTCTCCAAGACATCACATCCCCATGTCCAGTAAACCTGGAGGCTGCATGTCCTGTAAGGAATTACCAAGTACGCAGGCCCTTCTAACTCGATCCCGGGTCTACTTTACCTATTGGGTTATACTTAGGAGATTTGAATTCTTTGATTTTTAATGGGGCTACTGGGAAGGAGGGGGGGGGGAGGGGGAAGGGGGTTCAACAGGTCCCTGTTCCTAGCGTTGAAATTGTGTATTTACATACTAGTACCTTTGCTTTGTCGTTATTGTTGATTGATTAGTTATGTTTTACCGAAGGGAGTCTGATTTTTTTTTCTTTAGGACTTAAACAACTTCGTCAAGCAATATGTGACTTCCACCAGAAATATGACGGGTTCGATGAGGTTGACCCTGACGATATTATAGTGGGGCCCGGGAGTAAGGAACTCATCTACCTCGTTATGCATGTATTCAACGGAGGTAAAAAAAAAATCTTTATTTCCATAAATCTCGGATTCATATATAAGATGCTTCCTTTATAAATTGCAAACAGTTAGTTTGCAAAAAAAAAAAAAAAATTATTAATTGTAAAATCTTCCTTTCCAGATGTTATAGTGGTGTCTCCCTCGTGGACAACGTATAAACCACAGGCCCGCTTAGCTCACCACACACCATTCGTAATGGAAACAGATCTGGATAGCGCCTGGAAATTAACGCCAAAACTTATCAATGAGGTGTCTAATTTAAATTTACTAAATGCCTTCCTTTATTTTGTATTTAGGCCTATCGGAAAGTTTCTTTTAGCTCAAAAAAAGTCAATTTCTTTGCTTGTAAAATATTGAAATTTTCTCAGATTTACGCCCAATGAATACTGAGTAATCATTGCATCCAATATACTTACAGTTTGTGGAAAAGAACACGATGAAGAAAAACCGTCTTCTTATCCTAAATAACCCGGATAATCCAAGTAAGAGAATTTTGAAATATATCTTTAGAGGCAAATATAACACATTAAATTTTGTAAAATCATAGAGGGTACGTACATATTCAAAGAAGGCGGGGGGATAAAACTTGCAAATCGTTGTTTTGTGTTCGTTACCTTGAGTTGTACTGTTGTATGGAGAGATTAACACTGTAGTTATAGTAACTATAGACAGATATGTATTTTAAGTAAGAAATGCAAAACGAATGAATATCTCGGTGATGTGAATCAGTTCTCACATCTGCAGGTATTCACAATGTTTTCTCATATAAGTGAACATTTAACTCTAGTGACCTTGAGAGAAAGTTTAGAGGAAGTTTCAGAATTCATTATGTATCGTGCTCTCTATATAAGATATCTGATTACTTGATGGTATAGATCGCTGTGTCAAAAATGCACGCAGATTTATAGCAGTCCATAAAAAGACATGGTTGATTGTCCCGGCATATAGATGGAAACTGCCTTATGATTTTTTCCTAGGTTACCTAACCATGTTACATGTATTTGCATAATAGTTACAGTATTATCCTCTGTCATGCTCTACAAATCATGTCCATATTTTGTTTCTCTGACATATTTTATATTCATTGGAAGATTTAATTTTTTTATACTCAGTATAACATTGTAAACATGATTCCTGCGATAATTATCTATAGATATATACGAACTTTTAATTCAATGCTTGAATAAAAGCCCATAATATTGCCATATTTGTGGTTAACTTGTTTTATAAAATACAGTTAAAGTATATCATTGAGGGAGTTAGCAAGATTCCAGTTACCCAAGACCAGAACGATATTTTCCTAGGCGCAGCCGCAACTGCAGAGGAGAACTGAAATCTTGCTAACTCCCTCAAGTCAATGATACACCTTTTAACCATTTAATTAAACTGATACAAAAGTTTAAAAAAAAGAGGATCACGAAGGACGGGAATTAGCTTCCGGACTAACGCACGGGGATTAGTCCATTAGACCGATATAGGTGTAAAATCAAGAGGATTACGGATAACCGGGGAAATAGCTTCCGAAGCAGGGATTAACTCATTTGACTAACGCACGGGGGTTAGTCCATTCACAGAGATTTCTAGGGAATTGTTCACATTATACTGCCTAACTATTATACAACTGTGTATGAAAAAATCAGTAGAGGTATAATATTATAAGGAGTTTGAGGCACTGCCGCAGGTTACTAGTAAGCGAGATAACTACTTAAAAAATCCTAAGGAGATAAACACCCTCGATGTGAGGAAAAAATTTCCAGCAGTAAGGAGGACTCAGCGAGAAAAAATATGTTTTTTTCCCTAGAAGTCCTGTACAACAAAATGTATGGTGTTTTGCAATTATACTTGTACTATATCTAGTAAATAAAATTGTTAAGTACAAAATCATTTGTGAAATGAGTGATAAATAAATATCTTGAATATTCATTACATTTTATTTTGCCAACCACGAAATCTGTAGGTAGGGAAACAGTTTTACTCAGTACTACTAGTATACGATTTTCGTGATATTGTGAATTAAACTAAGTTCCCTTTCAGCCGGTACAAGTTATTCTGAAAAAGAGCTGCAAG